ATATATATATAAATATAGATATTTTTTTTTTTAAGGCCATCAAAGAGAGAAACTAGATACTTGTCTCTGTCATAGCACCAGATTCATAAATCATTCAGGCCTGTAGTTATCTGTGAACGCCGTACCTTTGCCGAGTGCATGTATTTTTCATCAGCTCTGAATAATGACTGTCGGTAGGGCTGGATGGATGATGGAAACATCTTGTGGCTCCTGTTGGGCTGCTTTACAGAAATCAAGTTTTGAAGAGTCCCCTTGCAAAGCAACCCACATTCAAGTTAAGCAATGAATGGAATATAAAAGTCCTCTAAAAGCAAGAAAAGAAGCACAACCAAATTCAGCTTAAGAGATTCAACAACTCTGTGTTTGTACAGTGTAAAAACAGCACTTAAAGTAAGAGCAGCCACCTCATAACATTTTTATAAATTATTCATTCCCCTCTCTATAAAACTGATTGCAAATTTGAAGCAATTATTATCTTCTAAATGGAGAATATCGGTTGATAGAGAGCTCAATAATTACTATGTGTTTACTCAATGGTAGTAACAGCCTTAACCAATTCACTCTTATGAACTTTACTGGGGTCTTTGGGGCAGGGGCTTAATCAGTGTTAAACGTGCAGGACCCTTCCAGCACTTGTCCTGAATAATATTTAGGGAATTTGAGACTAAGTACATCCATTCCTTTTTAAAAAAAAGTTAATGGTTGTTTTAATACATCAATGTGTCAGGGTCAGGTTTTTATTAAAAATTACCCTGACATAGTAAGCACACGAGGAGTTCAGAAAGTATTAAAGTCTGATGAATTCCCCTCCCAAAAGTTTACAGTTAAATACTTCTTGCTTTTCTTTTCTTCTTCTGCACAGTTAGTTTTGCAAATATTCTTTAGAAGGCTTAAATATAATATTTTTTAAGTGTTAAAATAAGTTATGTTCTCTATGTAAGACGCCTTCAAACTCCTCTTGCCTGGGTATGAACAAGAGCAGGGAGGATCAGGACAGAGCTCATGCCTGGATCTGCAGAGCAATAATACAGGGTGAGTGTTTGGAGATTGGAATCTTGGGGCAGGGAGAAGTGTAACCTTCTGTGAGCCCTCCTGTGGCATTTTCCTCTGGGATGAGGCAGTGCAGCACTGGTCCAGGATCTCATGTAGACATCTGGCTGGTTTGAACTGTGTCTTCTCAAAAAGAAAAACCCATCACCACTTGATTTTAGCAGAAATTTTTCTGGTTTTTAAGCCAAGAAACTGGGGAAGGTGGGTCACCATGCAATGTCTCTGTGCTCCTGATGCTAACTGCAGTCCTCCTAGCACTTCTGGGAAGGCAGCACCAAGGCAGCTTTACCTTTTCCATTTCCCAGCGGCATTTTCCTTATGCCGCCTCCTGTTTTTTTCCGAACAGGCGTTTGCTATGCTGAGTTCGGCGTGCGGGTCCCCAAGACCACGGGCTCTGCCTACACCTACAGCTACGTGACCGTGGGGGAGTTTGTGGCATTCTTCATCGGCTGGAACCTCATCCTGGAGTACCTGATCGGGACGGCTGCGGGCGCCAGCGCCCTCAGCAGCATGTTCGACTCGCTGGCCAACCACACCATCAGCCGCTGGATGATCAACAGCGTCGGCACGCTGAACGGCCTGGGTGCGTCCTGCTGTGCAGGGATGCCTCCATTAATTGGGGCCTGAAAAGTAATTGGAAGCTCGTCAGAAGTCAGACATGGACATTAAGCTTCATTCATTATTTACCGTCTGTCTGGCTCTGGTGCTTGGCCTCAGCAGCCTGGCGCACAGGCAGGGTCGGAGGGGATGGGATACGCGATACTTTGAGCCCCTTTGGGATGAGCTGGCATTTAGAATACATGCACAGAAACAGTCGAATGGCCGAGGGTAAGGGCAGCACAGAAACACCTTCACCCAGTGCAAACACTCTGCTTGGTCCCCTTGAGGCACACACAGAATTTTGTCAGAGAACACAAGCCGGTGTCTGCTGTACTGCCGGGGACTGGGGACTGTGGTGGTCCTGTATGACCAGCAGTTCCAGCAACAGTCCATGAATCCTACCAGTAAGCAAACCAGCCAGCTGTCCTGTACCTGTGTCATGAAAACTTCATGGCTGATTGATTTTTAATGAGTACTTGGCAGATGTTAAGCAAATTGGGACACAGTCATTGGTTTGCTGCTCTCCCAAAAGTCTAAACGATGTCTTGAGACATCAAGATTTATCACCTTAATTAAACAACTTTGGCTAGCGGAGGCATGGGCCTCAGGAGACCATTTTTACAATGAGACCAAAGAGTTCTGCAAAACTTCAAGGTCTGAAAAGTGCTTAAAATTCCCCCACAGAGCTCCTGGATATTCTGTGGATGGAGAGTAACACATCTCTTTTTTCCCACCTAGGGAAAGGAGAGGAGTCATACCCTGACCTTCTTGCTCTGGTCATTGCTGTCATTGTCACCATCATTGTGGCCATGGGGGTGAAGAACTCGGTGGGACTGAACAACGTGCTCAATGTCATTAACTTGGCAGTTTGGGTCTTCATCATGATTGCTGGTCTGTTCTACATCAAAAGTGACAACTGGGCTGAAGGGCAATTCCTGCCGTTCGGATGGCCAGGGGTAAGTCCTGGGAACACAGAGGGACACACAGCACCTAAGGGCTGCCACACATTCAGCTTTGCTCAAGGTGTACATACCCCAATTCTGCTGCACCCTCCAGCCCTGCTAAATCCACCTGTGCTTTGGCCACGGACCTCCAAATCCCAGGAGTGCAGGCTTGGATTCACACCTGCTCTTTCAACCAAACCCAAAGAGTACGGGAATGCTTTGCCCTTATCTCCTAACTCCTCTTAGCATAAACCCAGAACTTTTCCAAAACGTCCTTCTGCAGAGCCAAACTCCACATGAAAGTATCCCCGAGGAAATGCCACTAATTGCCAGGCAATGGAGCAGAATGCTGTGGCTATCTGAGGCAGGGCGCTCTGGAGAGCTGGCTCAGCCTCTGTGGAGTGGGGAGATACTTTTGTTGGCTGGTTTTCAACAACAATGTTCTCAAGTATTTGTTTTGAGCACTTCATAATGCCACCTGCCAGTACTTACTTTATGGATGTTCCCTCAAAGCTTACTGAGAATTTGGACATATTTGGCTTTTTTAGCTTGCTTGCAATGGTTTTTATCCAAGGATGAACAGAGACTGAAAATATCTCAGTTGGCCTAAGCCCAAGATAATTTCTCAGATTTACACTGCTCAACTCCATCGGGCTTTTGTGCAGGAAAATAAGCAAGAAAGTAAAGTAAACCAAGAATCTTGATTATTGAAAGGGTCCCAAACTGCCATACAGTCCCTGCACCTTCCTCCAGTAAATCAATGCCTCTTTGCCAGAGAACAGCAGTGAGGAGAAGAGCACTGAGGCTCACTGGAGAACAGAGGTCATATTTACCTTTGGGTTGTGCTTGGATTGTTATACTATACAATAGGAGTGAAAAGGAGAAAATAGATAATATCTGTTTTGCTCCAATTCAATGCATCAAATATCTCTTGGAAAAAAAAAAAAAAAAAAAAATTGTAGTTTTAAAAGATAGATGCATACCCAAAAAACTCAGTAGGGCAGTCTCATCCTTCTCAGCTGGTTCATTGCCTCACAAGTTGTTTGTAAAAGTAAATCCACCACCAAGCACAAGTGTGAGATCCCCAGGAGCGTAGGGCATACTTAAAAAGGGTAATTACAGACAGGCCCTGAAAGAGGTGAGTTTTACTGTGTGCAGTACTGCTAGACAGCTGAGATGACAGAGGTGTGATGGACAGGAGGTACCCAGCAAGCTGTCAGGCTTTCACAGCTCCAAATCAGCTCACTCACAGCCAGGCAGTCTTTGCCCTGCTCCAGCACTCCTCTCTTATAAATGTCCTCGCTAATATTGTATATTTAAAAAAAAATCACATTAAAAAAATAACCAAACAGTACAAATAATTCCTCATCCAAGTGCTCCAATGTGTGCTCCTAACCTGTCTGCAGCTTCCAAGCAAAACAGAGGTTATTTGGGAAGCGGCTCACATCTGACGGCTGCTGCTCTCTCCTGCTTCCTCTCTGAGCGGATCTTGCTGCCACATGAGACATCTTGCTAAGGCAGAAAGTGTAAACATGTTCAAGATCTCTACTCATAAAAATGGATTTGGGGTGGAGGATTGTGAAAGCAAACCTGAAATTGGTTGATTGTCTTCTCTGTCACCAGCAGGATCTCCCAGCAGATTCAGGCAATGCGCAGGCACGGGTTTATGGGGTGAGCTGCAGGTGCCTCTAATGGCTCAGCTCACAGGTTGAAATCTTTTCCCCAGACCAGATCTGTGATCCCCAGGGTCAGTCCCCAGAGCTACATGTACACCCCCTGACCTGTGGCCACTCACCCTTTAGCTCAGACAAGCCACAACAGGGCTGCTCCATTTTTGCTCAGCTCCCTCTCCCTGGCTGGGTGCCAGCCTCCCTCCTGGCACCCAGATGTCTGATCCTCCTCACAGGTGCTCAAGGGGGCTGCAACCTGTTTCTACGCCTTCATTGGCTTTGACATCATTGCTACCACGGGAGAAGAGGCGAAGAATCCCAACACCTCCATCCCCTACGCCATCACAGCCTCACTCGTCACGTGCCTGACAGCTTATGTATCTGTAAGTAGTTCCCACACAGGTGTGAATGTAGATAAATATGTATGTCTGCATATATATGTATATATCTACTATGTGAGTCCCTTCTGGGCACCGGCACAGTGCCTGCCAAAGCTCCTCTCCATTTGTCCCCAGGCTCCTGTCACCTGACAAGACCTCTCTGCCAGCTGCAGGGACGTGGTGGCAGGCAGTTTTTTTCTCATCCTCATCCACAGCTATTTTTGCACCCAGGAGAGAAGCAAAGAAGAAGGAGCAGCAGCATTGCAGCATCCTTTCTCCTTGTTTCTGGGAAAAGCAGCAGTGCCTCTGCTGGAGATATGGGATAGGATCCAAGTGAGGGGAAGGATAAGCAGGGATGGCTGTGTGAGATTGCACTGCTCTGCACCCCAATAAAAACATGCCTGTGCTCAGAGATTTTCCTTGCAAAAGAGCAAATATTAGTGATGGAGGAGAAAAAACACTGTTCTAATCATTTCAAAGAAACTCACCTACTACCTCTCCTGCATGGGAGTGGGCTTCTCATGAAAACAAATTCTTTGACACAAACAGGGCCAGTGTTGCTCCAAGCAATGCAATCTGGATTTGGGCTCTGGCCCAGCAATATTTCCCACACAGGAATGCAGCCAAAGTGAGTGTTACTAACCTTGCCAGTCCCACCAGCCTCACCAGTCTCACCAGTCCCATTTGACTCCTGCACCACCTCTGGAGCAAGGTTCAAGCATCCCTTTCTTGCCTTTGGGTAGCAGAGACTAAGTGAATTAACCACCCTACAGCAAGGTGCAAACAGACCTAACTCTAGCATTTTGCATCCCCTCCACCTTGAGAGTCCCCAACAGCACTCAGTGCTGATGCTGACACCCCTGTCCTGCTCCTCTTGCCTTGCCCAGGTGAGCATGATCCTCACACTGATGGTGCCCTACGATGCCATCGACACCGAGTCCCCACTGATGGAAATGTTCGTGGTCCATGGCTTCTATGCAGCCAAATTCATCGTTGCCATCGGGTCCGTGGCTGGGCTGACTGTCAGCTTGCTGGGCTCCCTCTTCCCAATGCCCAGAGTCATTTATGCCATGGCTGGAGATGGGCTGCTCTTCAGGTCAGTCATGCCCATGCTGGCATTTATTTTTAGCCTCTGAGTATCTGAGAGGAAATTGTGCTGGTGGGTTTGGGGGTCCCAACATGTTGTCACTACAGGGAGCAATGGGCACACACAGACACAGTGGGTGCAGAATGGGGCACGAGCCAAAGCAATATCCTGGGGGAAAATATCCTACAGCTTCTCATTTGGTGCTGCTATCTAGCGATTCTGATTATGTGAGGATGAGTGTTTAATTCAAGAGCTACTTGCAAAGGAGAAGCAGTTTATATAGATAAAATCTGGGTGTTTATTTGGAAGTATCAGAGAGCTCATTGCAGAGCTGGTCAGACCCAAATCTAATTCCAGATTCAATTTCAGCAGTGTTGCCAGTCCCCACCTAGAATCAAAGTTCCAAAAATCAACAAGACCTGAAGGGATCCCTGAGACTGTCCCCTGCAACCAAGGAAGGGTTATTGCAACAGGGAACCTCTGTGATTTTGACTTTCTGTGACTGTTCTGTGCTCCAGGTTTTTGTCCCATGTCAGTTCTTACACGGAAACCCCTGTTGTGGCTTGTATCGTGTCCGGGTTCCTGGCAGCTCTGCTCTCCTTGCTGGTCAGCCTGAGGGACCTGATAGAAATGATGTCCATTGGCACCCTGCTGGCCTACACGCTGGTGTCCGTCTGCGTCCTGCTCCTCCGGTACCAGCCCGAGAGCGACATCGACGGCTTCGTCAAATTCCTCTCCGAGGAGCACACCAAGAAGAAGGAGGGCATCCTGGCTGACTGTGAGAAGGAAGCTTGCTCCCCCGGGAGCGAAGGAGAGGAGTTCTCTGGCCCACCCACCAACACGTGCGGGGCAAAAAATCTGCCGTCGCTAGGAGATAACGAGATGCTAATTGGGAAATCCGATAAATCCGCCTACAACGTGAATCACCCCAATTACGGCACCGTTGACATGACCTCAGGGATAGAGGCAGATGAGTCTGAGAACATCTATCTCATCAAGCTGAAGAAGCTGATTGGCCCTCGGTACTACACGATGCGGATCCACCTCGGGCTGCCGGGTAAAATGGATCGCCCAACAGCGGCCACCGGCCACACGGTCACCACCTGTGTGCTCCTGCTCTTTGTCCTGATGTTCATCTTCTGCTCCTTCATCATTTTTGGGTCAGACTACATCTCTGAGCAGAGCTGGTGGGCTGTCCTCCTGGTTGTGCTGATGATCCTGCTCATCGCTGTGCTGGTGTTTGTGATCTTGCAGCAGCCAGAAAACCCCAAGAAGCTGCCCTACATGGCCCCGTGTCTGCCCTTCGTCCCTGCCTTTGCCATGCTGGTGAATATCTATCTCATGCTGAAGCTCTCCACAGTCACATGGATCCGATTTGCTGTCTGGTGTTTTGTGGGTGAGTCCCAGGTTCATTTATTTTAATTTTTTCACTGACACTCTTTCGGAAGGGTGTTGTTAATAACAATTTCCCTAATGGGAGTGCATAGGCTGATGCCTGGGACCCAGTCCTTCTCACCTGCCCCTTGTCATCCTGAAGTTCTTAGAAATCTCATTTTATCCAGCCCTCGAACAACATATAAAAGGAAAATTACACCTCCAGAAAACATCAGTTTCATGGAAGAGAATAACTCCATGCAAAGGTGACTATTTTGATGGCTTTTTTGATGCAAAGTAGGCGGGTCCTGGAAATTGCCTTGCAGGCAGGTTTTGTGCAGAAATCAGCCTGATTTCTTGCTATGTCACCCACATGAGCTCTTCAGCAGCCCACACCAGTATTTCAGCACTGCTTTTCCAAAGCCCAGAGCTTCCCAATCCCAGAAGCCCTGGGAAAATCAGATCTGTAGACTGTATCTCCTTTTAACCCAAGCTCTTATCTTCAGGGTAGGAGCATCTTAGGACTTACAGACTCTGCTGTGGACCCTTTTTTTTCCAAATTTAGGCTTTCTGACACATAACTAGGAGTCCAGCATATCCATAGTGCATTACATTCTGACCCACTTACTCCACAAAGCAAAGAGAAATAAAGTAGTTCTCACAGCTCGTCCAAGCTGAGCCATTGGGCAGGAGCTGCCATCTGAATTTTGGGGCTGGAGAAGACATACTCAGTGATTTTTTGGCCCTTGAAGGCAATACGTGAAGCTGTAAATCCAGGGAAAGTCTTACCTGGAAGAAAAGATTACTCCAAAGCATCAGTTTAATCTGCTGTAATTAAGCACTTTGCCCTGTGGGTACAACTAATACCTCTTGAGCTGCTTGCAAAGGCAAAGAGTCAATTAAAGCACTGCATTAGGTGTGATGAGCTCCACCAGCCCATCCATGGCTGTTGGGGATGGGACATCCCATTGGTTTTTCTGGCAGAGATGTGTATTCCTGATTTAACCTCACATCAGTCCCTCATGGCTAGTCCATGGCATGTGGAGTCTGGATTTCTCTGTGCAGATGTCTGGGGTAGGTTAATCCCATGATCCATTGGAAATCAGATCTCTGGATATATTTGCTGCCAGTGAAAGCATTTGTGCAGGAAGGTGACATCAGGTAGGGCTAGTGGAACTAGTGGGTAGTTTGGGTCCAACCCTTTCTCTCTTGCCAACCCCAGGTCTGCTCATCTACTTTGGCTACGGGATGTGGAACAGCACGCTGGAGATCAGCGCCCGGGAGGAGGCCCTGCACCAGAGCACCTACCAGCGCTACGACGTGGATGTCGACCCCTTCTCCGTGGACGACGGCTTCTCCTTCGCCCCCGAGGGCGAGAGCTACCCAGCCTGGGGTCCTTCTGAGGACAAGAGCTTCTCCTACCAGCAAATGGCGGACGCCAAGGAAAGCCATCGGACAAGTAGCAGGTCGAAAAGCAAAGGCCGGCACAAACCGCCGTCAGATGCTCTGATCGCCAACGACGAGTTGGACTACTCGCCTGAGTAGCAGCACAGGCAGCGGGGCGCCGCACCGCCCAGGCAATGAGGAAAGCTCCCCATGGCTCCCCCACCCTGCCCCATCTTCCCCAGGTCCTCCACCACCGCCCTGCTCACCACCTACTCGGGACACGCTCTGTGGTTGCCGTTGACCCTGAACCAAAACCACCCTTGGCCCGTCCCAGCTCCACCAGCGGGGTCTCGCTCTGGTGAACGCTGGCTGATCCCCCAGCACCGGCTGCACCAGTGGGGGCAGCGGGGTGGGAGATGTGCCAAACCAGGAGGGTGTTGAGAGGTGGAAGGGGCTGCATGGGATGGACAAGTCAAATTGTCCCTGGGGAAAGTCCACCTGATGGCCGCATCGGTGGGATGCCACTTAAAATTTTTGGCACTTTCTTGGCATGTGTGTTTTTTTCCTTTGAACAACCTAGAAGTGATAGCTGAGTCAGAGGCACAGAGAGGTGGGTAGGTACAAAATGGAGATGGACACACTCCTCCCTGGGAGTAGCTCAGAGATGCATAGTTGGTTCCATCACACAGTTCCATTCTGGCACACTGCACAGAGCAGTGCTTCCCCTACATCCATCCCCACACCCCAAACCCCAATTCTGTGATTCAAAATTAGTCCATGTCTCAGTCCAGCCTTTTAGCCCCAGCATGGCCCAACACCCCAAGTCTGTGGCTGGGAGCCTGATCCCATTCCTGGTCACAGTGAGGGCTGTGACCCACTTTTGGCTCAACACTCTTTGTATGAATGGTCAACGAGGACTGCACATTCCTCTGAATATAACCAGTCTGAGGTTGGGCACTGCTTCCACCACCTTGTGTCTTTTACAAAAATGACTGTGCTGTCATCCCTCCCCATGCTGAGCACCTTCCAGTGCTCACTGCCCTCAGTGCTCCAGACACCCATCCATGCCCTCACAAAACAGCAGCATCCATGGGTCAGCCATGTCTTGGTGGGGCTGGGCCATGGGTAGCAAGTGGAGAGGACTTGGTGGCTGAAATCTGTCTCCCTACTGCTGTCTGCACCTTGTACAATATTCTCTGGTTTTTCCCTTGGCTTGGTGGGTGCTGTATGAAAAACACTGAAATGCTGCTCATTCCCTAAGTGTCCGTATTTCAGTCTGAAACCAAACAGAGCTGGTGGCTCGCAGGGCAGAGGTGGCCAGCAGGTGGATGCTAAAGCCCCCCTGACCATGGCCATGGCCCCCAGAAGTGCTGTCACACTCCCTGCTGCCAGTGTCTGCACACATCCATCAGGCAGCAGTGATGGGGTTTGGTCAGTGACTATCAGCAGGTTTGGTCAGTGACTATCAGCAGGTCCAGTTCTGGAGCTCATCATGCTTCGTGTAAAACGCTGTGGTGGAGGAACATCTTTTTGAACAAACAGTTACCAAACCCATCAGACAGCAACTCCCATCCTCCCCACAACTGCTGAAGGCTGCAGATGGATCTGTCCCAGGGGCTCCAGTGCAGCCCAGACCAACCCCCAGTACCATGGACTGCTGTTGGCATCCCAGGGGACAATTTAACATCAACAGGGGCAGGATTTCCAATATGGAAATATCCTCGTGGATATTAAAAACCATTAATGCTTTGGTACACTGGATGAGGCTCAGGCTTCCAAAACACCTGCCTGGCACCCTCTGTGGGGAAGCAGGAGCGAAGGGTGCCTGGACCTGTCCCCATCTCCATCACTCCTGGGATGCAAAGGCTTGATGGAGACGCTCTGCCTGGGGCTGCAAAAGTTTCACTCCAGCTCCTGTCACAAACAGTGACAAACCACAGTCCTTTTTGCAGTGGAGAAGAACATCCAATTCTGCAGATCTTAACCTGGAGTGCTCCAGGCAAGCCAAGGGAAGCTTGGGCTCTGCAGCAGCTTCAGGGTGGGAGTGAGGATTTGGCTAAAGGACCTGTAAGATTTGCTCTGGCATCGATTCCTGCTGTCCACCCCACCACGCTTCTACAAGCAGAAATCCTGAGTGTGTCCCACTGAAAAGCTGTTGCAATGTGCACTGCTCACGGGCCAGCTCAGGAGACCTCTGCAGTGGTGCTGAGCTCCTCTTGCAACTGTCACTGCTCACCCATGCTTGGCTGCTCTCCTCCTTGATGCCTTAGAAGTACCCAAGAGAGATGGCACCTCGCAGGTCTGGCTTTATGCTTTCAGGGAGAAAGATTGATGCTATTTTCCTACCAGCTCTTGAACGATACCATATCCAAGGCAGTTGTTTTCATCCTGCTTCCGCACGGTATTGGGGCATCTGCTGAGCCACAAACTCATGCCCAAGCACCCCGTTGAGTCAATGCCCGTTCTTCTTGCAGCCTTAATCTCTTGCTACGGAGCAGTTACCAGTGTCTGTCGTCATGTCTGCTCTAGCTACGCCGTATAATTTGGCAAGGGCTTGATCCCTTGCTCTTTGGTGTCTGTAGGAACTTCTCCATTGGATCTGAGCAGCCTTTTGGCTGCCCCCGCTCCCATTCACGCATCCTCCTTCCCCTTCCTGGGGAAGTGCTGGGGCAGGATGGCTGTGCCCCATCCTGGGACCACCAGGGCACAGCATTTGATGCCACAGCACTGTCAGATGTGGATGGGCTGCTGTCAGCCCACACTGTGCTGAGGGTGGGAACTGTACCCTCCTCCTGAGCTGACCACATCCCACCCAACAGAGCTATTTAAGGAGAAGGTGACCAAGCCACAGGTCCTGGGGGTTTGCCAGTGGCCAAGGGCTGGTTTACAGGATCCCTGCTCCCTGTTCCGAATGGCAGCTCCTGAGAGATGTGAGGGTTCAGCCTCTGGGAACTCACGTGCTGTCTCTTGTATCAGCATTGGTCTCTTCAGTGGGCACGAGCAAAGGCTGAGAAGGCAAAATGTCCAGGTGTGTCCATGTCCTCTGGGCACTGCTGGCCAGGGGGCTGGGAAGAGGTGCAAGTGCTTGTTTTGCTGTAACCCCAACTCCAGCCTTTCCCCTGGGTGCCCTGAGGGAGGTTCTCACATCCCTGAGCCGTCAGGAGGACATGGCAGAGCAGGACCATCCTGCTCCCACCTCTGGTGAGAGGCACAAAGCCCCTCCGTGCCTGCCTGCCCTCCACGGGGAATTTGCCCTGAGGGGCCAAATGTAAGGTACAGATGGAGCATAAATACCTCAAACCTTCCAGGCCGACTCTGTAAGATCTCAGCCCCTTCACAAATTCACTCCACACGGTCACAACCTCTTGGTCCGAGGCCCAGCACCCCAGCATCCTTGACATGGCAGCGAAATCACACCCCAAGAACATGGGATGTTGTAAATCCAGCTTGTAAATGACCTTCACTTTGTTTTGTTCGGTCTTTCTGATGTATATCTTGCAGCTTTTTTTTTTTTTTGCAGGTGGTACTTTCTGGTGTAACAATTCTCTGCAGTTCTGGTATGAAGTTGGTGTATTTGTTAAAAGCAGTTTGTTCTATCCATTTTTTTTTTTTTGTGGTTTCCAGAAGCCCATTGGTGCATTGTACAATGGGGTCTTGTAGTGTATCATGAGAAAGAAAAAAAACCATGCAGATATGTTATGGAGTGATTTTTATTTTCAGATGACTGTGTTGTTGACAACTATACATATAATACATATATATAATCAAGATACTAAGAAAAAAATCTAAATTTACCAAAATCTGTATATTTTAATAAATGCATAAAGCTTTATTGTGTGCCTTTACATTTAAAAATCAAAGAGGAACTAAGGGATTTGTAAAGAAAGCCAGAGACAAATGTGTCTTAGAATTAGTTTCCATAGTAATGTAAATCTTTTAAATGAGAGACTAAACCAAAAAGTAATAATAAAAAAAAATTTCCATGTAAATTTTGTTAAGCCAATCAGCACCTGAAGTTCTGATATTTTTTCCACTGCTAAATTGAAGCTAGAGGTGAACAAAATCTTGCTTTAAGTGATTCAAAAAATCCATTTTAGAAGATCTATTTCAGCAGGCTGACTTTGTTATTTACTTGCAGTGTTGTGAGAGAAAATGGTTATCTGTTTACACAATAAAAAAAAAAAAAAGGCAAAAACCTAAAACCTATGACCATAGGTTGACTATTGCAGTACAAAAGCCTGGGGTGCACCAATATCTTCCCACCTGCTGGCACTCACCTTTCTTTGGGGGAACTGGGGTGTCACAGCACTGTCCCCTCCCTGCATGGGGGGGGCAGACACAGCTGCCTGTCCCCTTTGGGGTGCTCAGGGTGTGCCCCACAAGGGCTCCTTCCTGCTGTCCCTCTTATTTGGGTTGTGGGGAGCTGCCAGGTGCTCTCCCCATCATGGGATGGGTTCAAGAGCTGCAGCTGGTCCTGGTGGAGCTGGGGAGAGCTCTGCTGGGCATCAGGGACCATCACCTCCACACTGGGGGGACTGCCACAGCTCACAGCCACCACTCCACACTTGCTGTTAGCAACAGTGTGGGGCAGTTCTTTGATTCAGGAGAATTATATTCGATCCTATTTTGAGGCTATGGGTCAGCAAATGAGGGCTAAAAGCCTTTATTAGCCAACAGTGGCCAATCCAGACCAAGAGAGCCCCACAGGGGAGCAGGGTGCTTTGGAGGGGCACAAAGCAGGTGTTTCAGCCTTGATCTTTTAAAAACTAGGAAAGTTTAATGTTCCTTGTGCTTCCTCAGAACACTCCCCCTCTGTGGTGCCAGCACTAATACCCCACCACATTCTTGGCCCCATCTCCTCGCACCCCATGGCTGCAGATGTACATTTTCCCTGCAGCTGCTGCGGGGTTGCTTTGCTTTGTTTGGTTTTTAATCCTCGTCCCTGAAATAAAACTTCTTCTTTCCTCCAAGGAGCACTCCCAGGGACTTTCAAGGGTTGGATTTGGGGTTGGATGCTGGTAAACCTCTGGCTATGGGCACAGAGCCCCAGCACCATTCCCTGCCGAGGGTCCTCAGCATCATGTGCATGAGGATCACGGACTGGAAGGGACAAGGTGCATCCTAAAGGTGTGGGCAGAAAAAAATCCCCTAAACGCTGC